GTAGTCAAAGGAAAGAGCTCATGATCAGCCAGTCATATTGCTGCGTTGAAATGTTTGACTAGGTAATCATGGAAACGTACGGCATCTATCTGCTCATGATTAATGAACGAATGCTTATGAATGATTCTTTCACTGTTCATGTCCGATAAGAAACTGTGCAGTGCACAAGATACGTTATTATTATTAAATTATAGTAATGAACAGAAAAAAATACACGCTCCTTTGCGAAACACAAATGAGAATGCGTATAAGTTCATGAGAGGAGATTAGTGGTTGTTTGGTTTGAGTAAAGTCGTGGTGCATGATAGGAATGGTATCGATGGATGCTTATATACATGAGAACAAGGAGCTGATATATCGTGGTGATATCGAATTTATATGTAAATAAACACATAATATTTCATACGATCAAATTGATGTTTTCGGGTAACGAACAAAAAGATAACAACACGGCCTAACTTGCTGTGCTCTAAAGAAAGCGCTGATGATGATGATAAACTTCTCACGTTTTCCAGTGTGCATCAATCGGCCAGCTTCTTCTTCACTTATCTATCAAATCAATCGTCACATTCCGAACAAACACACTATGGATTGATTGCTATTGTTTGTTGCTAACATGAGAGCGAAGGGTTCACTGGATTGCGATATGCTGCTATTTGTGAATGGAAGATGAATGAATTTCCGAGTGAGATGTCTTCACTTAAGAGGAGAGGGAGTTGGTTGGTTGGTTGGTTGTTTGTGTGATGTGTTCAACGTTTGGATGCTTATCGCAAAAAGTGCACACAACTGATGACGGTGATAAGTACCAAATTAGTGCGATCAAACGTGGAGATTGCTTGCTGCAAATTAGTATTCACATTAGTTGGTCTTCTTTGCATCCCTGTGAACATTCATTTCATCTGCATTCGTAAGCAACCAACAGCTAACATTAAGCATAAAACCAACACAATGGCCAGTTGTGTGTAAGCAGCACACGGCAAACGCATAAATTCACATGCTTGTAGCTTGTGTTGCTTAACAGATTGTTCATTTCAAGAAGACAATTTCGTGGACTTGCAAAAGATTTCAATGAACTTCTTCTGAGTACCAAGGAAACTATGGGAAAAGGGCTATGATTTGAGTGCTTGAATGAGTTCGTCGAGAGTGAATCGCATCGACACAGTACTGGCTATTGTTCTATCCATCGTTTCCATATTAGCAAAAGCGAAGACGCCATTTTTCAGCTGTCACTGATACTTCATGATAGTGGGCTTTCGGTGAATTCATTCTCAAATACCGTTGTTATTATCTTGTGCTCATAAAATAATGGTAATGTGATTTTTTGTGAAAAGCGTTCAAACGAACATTGTATTCATGGAGATAAATTCACGAAAGAATTTTTGAGTGCTTAAGGCATTACGTCGAATCAGTTCAATGAATACTTTCATTAAATAATAAACATTTTCATGATCAAATAATAATAACTAAATAAGCAATGAGAGTGTGTATAGTCGAGTGAAATAAACACCAAATATTTGCAAACATTCCCCGTGTAGTTTCATGATCATTTCATATATGATCTGCTCGTTTCATAGTTCCGTCATCGATTTCTTGTTTCGTTTCTAATAATCGTTTCATTGCGTTCCAATGCGATGATGCATTAGTGCCTGCTGCCGCTGAACAACGATCGCATTTTGAGCTTACTGGTTTGGTTACGCTTGCTGCGTTGCTCCGTTCTCGTGAAGATTGTTTATTTTAGGAATGAGAAAATAGATTGGAGGGAAGGAGCGTCATGACAGAACGGGATGGTGTTGTACTTTTTGTGTGTCGGGACTTTACTGGTGTTGTTGTTGGTGTTGTGGAATAAGGAGTAGTAAAATGAAGAAAGTTAGTATTCATTCATTCTTGCTTTTGTTTTGTGCATACAAACCAATTGACGATGT